CCCATTCCTTTTTATTTTCTGAGTAGTTTCCATTCATGTCAGCTCCTGGGCTCTGGTTTTGGTCCTTTAATATTCCATATATTAGCAATTCTTTAGATAGAGTCATGGATGGAAGAAAAACTATAAAGGATAGGAAAGTAGAATGGTTGGGTTCTTAATATGTCAGAGAGAATTCAAAATCAATAAAAATTAGACAAGTGCATCACATCTAACAACACATGACATTTAACAAATATAAGGTCAAATATGGCTAAAGAGTTACAAAATAAATTGCCTGACCAGAGGATGATGGGGACATGACCAGAAAGATTTCACATTGGAAGACAATGAGGGTTTTAGCAGATTGAAATCTGAACTCGATCCAATAGCATGATGGAACAATCCAGTTAGTCCCAATAAAGAGAAATCTAGTCCCTTTAAAGAGTAACATGAGAGTTCCACTGTCCTCTGGCCTGATCAGCCCCCATTTACAATATTAGGTTGTGTTGTGATGACACGTGTTTTAAGAAAAAATATATGCAGAAAGAAAATGGGCATCATGGGAACTTGAAACTGTGCTGTAAAAGGATGGTTTCAAAGAACAAGGTGTGTTTAATCTACATAAGAGAGGTTAAATGATGGTCTTCAAATATTTAAAGACCTCCAAAGGGGCAAAACATATAAAATCCTTCTACTTGGCTTCTGAGAGGGGAATTACAAGTAATGTGTGACAGGTACTGGGGAATGTATTTTAGTTCACATTAAGGGAAAATTTTCTCTTAATTATAGCCATCCAAAAGAAAAATGCACTTCCTCAGGAAGCAGAGGCTGTGCCCTCACTGAAGGACCTCATGCAAATCTTCAGTGGCATTTTGCTGGGAATGTTATTGGAAAAGTTCTGCCATAGGTAGCTTGGCCTAATTTGAATGGACAAGTCTTTTGCATGCTTGCTATTGTGCACAAGATTCTGCCCTGCTCTTGGAGATGAGTGGGACAGTCAGTAGGTGGCCTTGCCTTGTGCTATGTTTCCGCAGGCCAGGACACAGCCAAAATGAATTCAGTCAGGGTTCTACTTGCTCCATCTAAATCCC